TTGAAGATCAGCCCTCCCTGGCTGTATTGCTGCCCACRATGCATTTTAATCCCATTTCTCCGAGCAGTTCTCATCTTCTCTGCAAACCATGCCCGGATGATTTTCCACATGGCCTCCACTGCTGACCCTGGCAGAGCCATCCGAGGCAGAATTATTTCCCAGCAATGCTGACAGATCAGGCAGAATGGATTTGGGGCATTAGGCATGGTCTGTTCTCCAGCTGTGCACACCTTCRGGAGCTGCCCGCCAGCAAACGGAGCACAAAGAGCTTTGCTGTTGAAAAAAAAAAAAGACATTCAAATACATTGGAGAGGGATTTTCCATCACAAGGTGATTTCTGGTTCGAGAGTTAAAATAAGAAATAAAAAAAAAAAACCGTCTGGGGAATTCAGAGGTAAAAGAAGTCCAACAAGATGGATGGAGACTGCACTCAGGTTAAATAGCACTGCTCTTGTGTGCAGTCTGCTCAGGGAGCTGTGACCTGCCAGAGAAGGGAGGTTCTTTTAGAAGATCTGACTCCTTCATCTCCTTCGTGGCACAGAGCAAAGTGCCTCAAATCTCTGCATCAYGGCATTCTTCTTTCTGTCTGCAGGACAGTAAAACTCCTCTAAGTACAAACCCCATGATGGATTCATTTCTGTGTTTCACACCTCAGCTGATGACATTTTTTTCTTTACAGATTCCTGGAAAGATTCACTCGAAGATTACAGATTCACTCRAAGCTGAATTGCCCAGGTCCCTTGGGAGCATTTTCCACGTGGAAATGTAACATTATAGTGAATAATTTGCATTATCTGGCACTTCCTTCCTCCCGAGGAGTAACTGGGCTGTGGSTGGTTTGGGTGGACAGTTCCATTTCCACGGGTTTAGCTTTGGCTTCCAGTGTGTTGCGTAGGCTGTAATTAAACTAATTCCATCAAAGGCAAGGTATTTCCAAACACACAGAGTCGAAAAAACCCAGAATGTGTTTTTCTTTGACAGCACTTGTAAGGGCCTCCCTTGCTTTTAGCGGGACAATTTTTAAATGTAAATTTTGTTTTTAACTGTTTCAAAGAGCTGGAATAGCCACAGCACCCGTGATCTGCCATCCCCCAGCATTGTCAGGGCAGAGAGAGGAAAGCAGCCACGGCTGCCCCAGGCTGATCCACCTCTGGAATGTGAGTTTGTCCGGGCTTGCAGGGATCTGTGCGGGCTGAGGGGTGTGTTTGTGGCAGGGAAAGCTGGATTTGTGTGCTGCACATCCTTCTCACATCCCACAACCACCCCCAGCCCCTCCTGGGTTACCTGGGTGAGATTATTGGTGTGGAACACAAGGACAGCRCTTTCCTTCCAATTCTCACAATTCTCACGGAGGATTATCTCCTACCTRTGCCTTTACTCCTGGATTCAAAAGCAGGAGCTGTGAAACTCAGCCACTTCTTCACTTTGTCGCCCTTGAGAATTTTGGAGCTGGTGGAGAGAAGCTTTGATGTTGATTGGAGTACTTGACTTTCCTGTACCTGTCTAAAATCATGATTAGGCTTTTGTAGCTGATCAGAATGAGRGATTTACATTAAAGGGCTACACCAAGTGCCTCCAGGCCTGATTTAGAGAAAAATAATAACTCGGTGTTTTCCCAGGGCTGCAGCACTCAGCAAATAAGCTCCACTCCAAGCCTCAAGTTCAGCTTTTGTTGTGAGAACAACCCTAATGACCCATTTCAAACAATATTTTACCAGGCGGAAGTTCAGGCTTTTTGTACTGGATTTCAACAGAGCTGCAATCCCGCAGTTAAGAAATTGTTAGCCCTGCAATCAGGMGCCTTTAATTGAATCCCTGCCGCTTGTTTAATTACAGCAGCACTTCRCCAGGCAGCGAGATGGGTGCAGGCACACCTCTGCCAGGCCTCCATTGGCTGTGAACCCGTCAGGCTGGCCTGGCTGCGCTCAGAGGGCATTTCAAAGCGATAAATAGCAGGGCTTGGAGCAGTGGGGAATGATTTCCACCTGCCAGAGCTGCGGGCTGGAGCCAGGCAGTCCTGAAAGCGCAGCGTGCCGCTGGAGGAGGCGCCGAGGAAGGCGTTCATTGCCATGAACTCCGTGAGTAAAGGCAGCGTGGGTGGCATGGCCGGCTGCGTGCTCCAGATCACCGGGCTCATCTTGGGCGGCGTGGGCATGCTGGGCACGCTGGCGGCCACCGCCATGCCCCAGTGGAGGGTGTCAGCCTACGTGGACGGCAACATCGTGGTGTTTGAGAGCGTCTGGGAGGGGCTGTGGATGGACTGTGTCAGCCAGCTGGGARTTCGGCTGCAGTGCAAGCTCTACGACTCGCTGCTGGCACTGCCGCCGCCGCTCGACGCCTTCCGCGCGCTCATGTGTCTGGCGGCGGGGCTGGGCGTGCTCGCCTTCCTGGCGGCCATCGTGGGCGTCAAATACACACATGGCAGCGAGGATGGACCAAAGGGTGCCAGCGTCTTCATCCTGGTGGCCGGCGTGGCCTTCCTGCTGGCGGGCGGCCTGGTGCTGGTGCCGGTGTCCTGGACGGGCGGCAGCATCGTTCGCGATTTCTACGACCCCGAGGTGCCCGCGCCGCTCAAACGGGAGCTGGGGGCAGCGTTGTACGTGGGGTGGGCCAGCAGTGCCCTGCTGATGGCTGCTGGGGCCATGTACTGCCACTTGTGGTGCTGGGCAGACACGGCCACCAAGGCCATGTACCCACGGCTGTCCCGAGCCCGGCTGCCCYCGGCCCCGGGGCTCCACGCCTACGTGTAGCTGTGCCCGTGCCCACGGGGCTGGGAGGGCTCTGGACTGCTCAAAACCTCCAGGATTGTCTCGTTCCATGGCCAGGGACGCCTCCTGCTAGCCAGGTTGCTCAAAACCTCCAGGATTGTCTCATTCTGTGGACAGGGACGCCTCCTGCTAGCCCAGGCTACTCAGCACCTCAAGGACCATCTCATTCCATGGCCAGAGACATCTCCTGCTAGCCCAGGCTACTCAGCACCTCAAGGACCATCTCGTTCCATGGCCAGGGACAGCTCCTGCTAGCCCAGGCTGCTCAGAACCTCAAGGACAATCTCGTTCCATGGCCAGGGATGCCTCCTGCTAGCCCAGGCTGCTCAGAACCTCAAGGACAATCTCATTCCATGGCCAGGGATGCCTCCTGCTAGCCCAGGCTGCTCAACACCTCAAGGATTGTCTCATTCCATGGCCAGGGATGCCTCCTGCTAGCCCAGGCTGCTCCGAGCCCCTTCCAGCCTGTCCCTGGACACTGCCAGGGTGTGACCTTCCTGCTGAGCATGGTGACATGTGCTGATTGACTCCTTAATSCACCTCCAGCTCTGGAACGGAGGAGTCATTTTGTTCCTTTGCTGTTGACACGGATGTCTGCTCTCCAACAGCCTGGCAGGAGCTGCTCCTACACCAGTGTTGGTTACAGCACAGTCCCCACTGTTTTGGGAATGGAAAATGTTGAGAGGGGAGTGAAAAATAAAAAAAGGACA